GCGGTTCGGAAGCTGTACACATTAGCTTTTCCCAGCACGACCTCACCTATCACAGGCAACTGGAGGCAGACGTCAGTGGGAGCAGGAAAGGCCTCCAAGCTTGTAACACATAGGGCCGTAACACGGCCGCGGTGAGCGAGGCGGCTGAGTCATGCTCGCCTTCCCGTTAAAAAGCAGCAGAGAGCCGTGCAAGCGAAGGAACAGTTCCAAACCCCACATACCTTGGCCTCCGGGTGAAGGCTCTCTATAGGAGAGGTAGGCACTGCATACAAAGGAGCCGAGACCTTAAACGAACACTGTCCTGGGAAGAAACGGGAATGAGAACAGCATAAATTGAGACCCTCTGTAGAGAAGTAGAAGAAGGACATGGAGCTGCTGGAGCGAGTCCAGAGGAAGCCACGAAGATGATGTGAAGGCTGGAGCACCTCTGCTATGGAGACAGGCTGAGAGAGTTGGGGCTGTTCAGCCTGGAGAAGAGAAGGCTCTGGGGTGATCTTATTGCAGCCTTCCAGTACCTAAAGGGGCTACAAAAAAGCTGGAGAGGGGCTTTGGACAAGGGCATGTAGTGACAGGACAAGGGGCAATGGCTTTGAACTGAAACAGGGCAGATTTCCATTAGACCTAAGGAAGAAATTTTTTACATTGAGGGTGGTGAGGCACTGGACCGGGCTGCCCAGAGAAGTTGTGGCTGCCCCATCCCCGAGAGTGTTCAAGGCCAGGTTGGATGAGGCTTTGAGCAATCTGGTGCAGTGGAGGGTGTCCCTGCCCATGGCAGACTGGATGGTCTTGAAGGTCCCTTCCAACGCAAACCATTCGATGATTCTACGATCCTGTGAAATCACGGCCTAACTCTGATGCTTGAGCTACTGATGTCACCCCCTCTTCCCCCCGACCCAGCTTTCTGCAGCTGCTACAAGGTGCATTTTGTCAAAAGGAGGTAAGCTACAGTCAGGGATCCATAAACAAGGCTCAAAACATGCCAGGGCGTAAGAACTGGTTACAGAGGCTGTGGAAGTCAATGTCGTACCTTGCAGCAGAGGTAGAAGGTCCACCACGGCTTGGCCAAGAGGCACAGTCTTCTCCTTCTGCCTCTTCTCCCTTTGCAACACTTCTATCACTGTCACTAGAGAGATAAAGAGATAGGAGCTGGCAGAGTTTCTCAGACAGCTTCAGACCTGCAGTTCAGGGGCTGCAAAGGGTCTGCGTCAGCTCCGGCACACACTCCTACTTCATCTCCCAAGGCCAACAACAACAGTGGAGCCAAGGAGCACAGGCCAACACGAAAGGGGATTCTTCCAGCTGGCAGAGATGGGAACAGAAGCGCTGACGCCCTCCCACCGCCGCTGCTGGAGTGCTATTCTTGAGCGAGTGACTCTGGCAGCAGGCAGGCAGCGCGGAGCAGCGCCAGGGGGGAGGACCCAGCAGCAGGTACTCACAGAGCACAGGTTTTCGCGCGACGTCATCCAAGGAGTTGGGCCCGTCGGGGCTGCACTCGAAGCTGGTCGTGAAATTATAGTTTGCTGTCCCGTCTGGCAAGACGTCAGACCTGGAGGAGTCTCCCAAGATCTCTCCGTTGTACTCCGCACGCACCAAAGTAACTGACACGTCGCTTTTGATGCTTCTCTGTCGAACACAGACAGCACGTTAAGCAGCTGGCTCTGCCCGGGATCAGAGCTGCCTCTGCTCGGGATCAGAGCTGCCTCTGCCCGGGATCAGAGCTGCCTCTGGCAGGCAGCTCAGGTCGGCACCCATGACAGAGCACACTGGTGGGGGTTCCACTACAGGAACGGGGAAGAGGAGCAGAGCTTGGCCATCCTGAGACCTCACCCTTTGCTATCTTTAGGACATTCCCAGCTCCACCACGCTGTGATGCCCCAGGGATTATCAAAAGCTGTTGCTGGAAGGGTGAGGGGCAGAGAGGTCCAGGCTTCACCCCAGCAAAGGCAATGAAAGACACAGCTAAAGCAAATCCAGAAATATCCCATTGATATTTTCGTGCTTCCAGGAAGCTCAAGGCTTTTGTCGTCTGCTAAGAAGGTAGCTCCTGAGCTGCACAGCTGAGCTCTCAGGAAACTGGTGTATATCTATGGCTCCAGGGTGGTCTTCCAGCAGCCTTCCAGTATCTGAAGGGGGCCTACAAGAAAGCTGGAGAGGGACTTTGGACAAGGGTGTGTAGTGACAGGACATGGGCCAATGGCTTTAAACTGAAACAGGGGAGATTTCAATTAGATCTAAGGAAGAAATTCTTCCCTCTGAGGGTGGTGAGGCACTGGACCAGGTTGCCCAGAGAAGTTGTGGCTGCCCCATCCCTGGAAGTGTTCAAGGCCAGGTTGGATGAGGCTTTGAGCAACCTGGGGTAGTGGAGGGTGTCCCTGCCCATGGCAGGGGGGTTGGAACTGGATGGTCTTGAAGGTCCCTTCGTACTCAAACCATTCTGTGACTCTATATCACGTGGCTGGAGAAAGCCCTGAAATCAACGAATCTCTCTTTGGAGAGCTCTGCAATTCATTGTTACACCACATTCATACCACCTGCTTTAGGCAGAGATGAGGAAGTTCGAATTTTAAAATGTCTCTGCAGAGAGGCTTAACCAGAGGTGAACAGGGATGGTGACGGCACAGCACATCGCAGCTGGGATCTCCGTGCCCGGGCAGCACCGGGCATCTCCAGAGCAGCGCAAAAAGTGCTGAGACAGAGGGTTACGAAAGAGCTTCCCTGCAGGAGAAACAGGGTTTACTTCTCCATCCAGGGAAGAGTGGCCACCGCCCTGAACACGAGGTTGTTGTACCCAAACCCAGCTTTTCTTTAGTCCTGAGCCACAGGGATGCCCAATCTCCACAGGCCTCTCCCTCAGCTCCCTTTCACCCTGTCACTGGGGTAATTAATTCCATATTGGCTCTTGCACAAAAAGAGATTTCATTCACTTGGTTTTAATTTTCAGTCCTTCTGACTGTCTCCTTGAGCATGCACTCTATGAAGGGCTAAACAGAAGAATCCAATTAACCTTTCTCTGTACCATTAATTATCCTAGACTCCTCTCTCATCATTCTCTACAGCACCGCTAATTAAGCACATTCCTCACTTCTCATAGCTGGAATTTTTTTCATATTGTTGTTCTTATCATTGCACTTTTGTAACCCTCTCTCCTTTTGGCATAGCCTTTTCTTAAAATGGAGCAATCTGAACCACAAAGCAATATGCCCGGATGCAATCAGTCCATGGCTCCATTCTTTTCAGGATTGTTTTCCCTCCTCTTACCTTCTACTTCTCACCTAAGGTGTTGTTTGCTGAATCTATCAGTGCGAGAGGTACTCAAATACTACTGCAAAACCTCAAAAAAACAGAAAGGCAGGTGCTTTTGCTTTGCTTTTTTTTTTTTTTGTCTGCTGCTAGAGCAGATTTGCATTTTTCTGCTTGCAGAAACGTAGCTCCTCCACGTTCCCTCCTAAATGCCAGTTCCTCTAGAAGACTTTAAGGACAGCTGGGTGCACCATGCAGCACACGGAAAGCACGGAAGTCATGTTTTAATTGGAACCAGCTCATAGTCTTGCCCTGTAACTACTCTGGAGCTGCTGCTTTTTTAAAACCAGAGCCACCCTATTGGTTTCAATACGATGGAAAATCTGGCTTTATATCCAAGGTCAGATTTTTTTAACAGACATTTGTCTCACCAATACACATTTTTACTGTGTTTTGCTTAAAAAAGCTGCCATTTACATACAGCTGGGCAGAGAGGTACATTTCAACACAACATCCCAGGACTATTATGGGGAGGAGGAAGCCACAGCGTGGCGTCGCCGAATCTCCGATATTCCCACTGCTCCTTCCTATAGCCTTATCTCCTCACACCTGTAGGGCATCGCAGCACACAGAATCGCTCCGGCCTCGATTATTAAACCACCGGAGACATTTTTCAGGAGAACTTTACCAGGTCTTGCGCCTTCAGTACCGCGATCCGCACTGTTTTTGTCGGCGTTGGTCGTGACTCGCTGGGAAGGGCTGCAGCAGCGGGCAAGGCAGAGGACTCCCTTCTGCCAGGCAGCCCCACAGGGACCTCCATGGCTCTGCAGGAACAAGAATGGGGAAAGAAACATGAAACCACCCTATTCCTCTCCCAGCAAGGTCCGCAGGACACAGTTAACTGCTAGCGCTGTTTGGAGCTCGGCTGCCAGGACACCACTGAAAGCACAGGGCTTTGTCAGGGACGAATCGGGGGGAGGACGGGGAGAAAGGTACCACCGAGGACATCCCAGTGAGCCCACCGCAGCCGG